CAGCCACGCTCCGTCGAGACTAGTTAAATCCCAAGTGTCGATTACTTTCTGCTCTCCCGCAGTAGTCGGCACGACAGGTCCCTAAAAACCGCATTTGTATTATGTAAATCCCGTCCAGGGTTCCCAAAACCGCATTTACATATGTAAATTCGGTATTTACATACAACATATATATCAACTATCTTCTCGACGCTTTAACTCGAGTGGTGATAGAATTATGTGTTATCGGATAGAGCTCTTATACAGGTTTAAGAATTATGATTATACAAGTATATTTGCTGCTAAATTGCACCTACTGTACGTTCTTTCAGCATATTTTCATTATGATAATTGCATTGTCAAACTTTTACATACTGTATACAGCAGCATCTCCATAAGTGCACACACGTAAAATTTCAAAAAATCAACTAATTAAATTCGTCGTAATTTCAATACGATAAATATACAATAGCGCAATGTTAGTTTACTTATAATCTGCATCGCCACTACTATGAAACAATATGGACATAAATGTTTTCTAAATAATATAATTACTCGAAAGTTTAGCCATAGTTTCCAAATTAAACAGAAAGGAGATGAAGAAATAAATGCACAATAGTACAACAAGTAATTGTTCGCGCTTGAGCCAATGCAGAAAATTATACGGAGTATTGAACAAATTTACTGCGCCAAACTAACATCAATACATGGTTGTTTTTTTTAAAGTATGGCTTGATTTATAATGTGATCGCTAAATTTGGAAATTTCGATAATAAAAAGAAAGTAGTTACTGACTTCTATTCGTTATTCTATAGTACGCACTCTCCCTATGTGCACACAAATGCCGAGTCCCAAGGATGTGCACTTATGGAAGTGCCACTGTATTTTTCTTGTATACCAAAAGCGGAACTTCACCCAAAGAAATGTAAAGGCGAAATTGTTGACGAAGCTGACAGTTGCTCTATTTATATTACAATTTATATTTTTACTAATATGCGTTATTTGCAAAAATCCGACTTCTTTGCCATGGGACTTGCGCGATTGTTACGGTGTTGGGACCGACGCGTAAGATGTTTAAATAATTGGTCAATAATAACAACAAAAGTTAAGAATTTTCTTATTTTCATTGCACGTTAGCACGATAATATTTTCAATCATCCGATATGATAATAGGGTGTGATCCAAGGGATATGATAAAAGCCGAGGTAAAAATAAAAGAATTAATCCCCTTGCACAAAAAACTTTGCTGGCTGATACAGAGTCTGCTGGATTTCCTCACTTTATTGTGTTGGTAACTTACATAAGTTCTGGAGGAAAAAAAAAGGTTAGCCAAACACATATAATTACTTGACATCACATATCGCTTTATCTGTAGTAATAATAAGATATGCCCATACCAATATCCTCTATTCTTGTATATATATAACATTAATGACTTGTACATTCTGAAAAGTAATTTACCACTTTGTATCCAAAAAACATCTTGTTGAATGGCAACCTAAACTTTTCACCATATCTACAGGTTACTTTAATTTAGTATCACTTGTACTGGCAATCTTGTCCCTGCCTTGTTCAGAAGCACTTTTAGTACCTACTGAACAGGCATTACAGGTATAGAAAGTCTTTTTTGTGTGTGTAGAAGATAATGTTCAAAGATTAAGAATAGTAAGATAGATATACTGTTCATAACTGAATTAGACGTTACTAATCTTTGCATCTTTGTAATCACAAAGAAAATGTTCATAAGTCAAACTGATTATTAATAGTCGATATTGTTGTTAGGATATTCTCTAGTAATGTTTATGCAAGCTTATATTCTCTAGTACTTCGTTTTCCTAGCCGATCGTTTGATAAGCCCTCCTGCACTTTTGATAAAATCTTTTGCTTTCTTGAAAAAGTTTTTTACTTTCCTTAATTTAGACGGCTTCTTGTCTTGTTTAACTTTCGATATTGTACTTAGCTGTTTGAACGTATCGCAATACTGATCCAGTATGCTATAAATTTCCTCTCTTTGTTTTAATGCAAATGCATCATCTGGTTCAATCTCCAAAGATTTGTTGAGATCCCTTAGAGCATTGGCGTATTGTTGGAAGACACGATAAGCAGCTCCCCTGTGTTTCAATGCAAAGGCATCGTCGGGTTTGGATTGCAAGGATTTATGCAAATCAACCATTGCATCGTCATAGCGTTTAAGCATACGATAGACGGCACCCCTATGTTTCAATGCGAAAGCGTCACTTGGCTTTTTCTTCAACGATTGATTGAGATCGTCCAACGCAAGGTCATATCGTTCAAGCATAAAATAGGCGGCCCCTCTTTCTTTCAAAGCAAATTCATCGTTCGGTCTGATAGCCAACGACTTGTCAAGATCGCATAATGCATCTTCGTACTGTCCACGCATGCGGTAGATTGATGCTCGATGTTTAAATGCAAAGGAATTATTGGGATAAATCTCTATTGACCTGTCAAGATCCGCCATCGCTTCGTCGTATCGTCCAAGTATGCGATATACGGCTCCTCGTTGTTTTAGTACGAATCCATTGTGTGGAAACAGTTCTACGGATTTGTTGAGATCGTTCATTGCGTCGTCGTAGCGCCCGAGTATTCGGTAGATGGCGCCTCGCTGCTTTAATGCAAAAGCGTCGACCGGTTCGAGTCCCAACGACTTGTTGAGGTCGATTAGTGAATCGGCGTGTCGTCCAAGTATACGATATACGGCTCCCCTATGTTTCAATGCAATCGCATCATCTGGTTTCATCCCTAGTGATTTGTTGAGATCTTTTAATGCATTGTCGTAACTTTCAATTATACGGTAAACAGATCCTCTTTGCTTCAAAGCAAACAAGTCATTTGGTTCAGTCTTTAACGATTCGCTGAGATCCTTCAAGGCTGCTTCATATTCGCCGCATGAACTATAAATGGCTCCTCTTTGTTTCAATGCAAATGCGTCGTCTGGTGCAATCTCAAGTGCCTTGTTAAGATCCTTTAGCGCAGCCTCTTGTTGGCCGAGTCTGCGATAAACTGCCCCTCGTCGCTTTAATAAATCTGCATTAAATGGTTCGAGGTCCAACTGTCGACTCAATACATCCTTGTACCGATTAATTTGTGAACGCTGATCCTGACTTAATCGTATGTCCTCCAACATTGCATCTGATATTACGTAATCAGTTTCATCAGCCTGCTCATCAGTCCGATCATCGGCTGGCAAAGATTCAAATAGCGATTCCAATCTCTTGTACACTTGTTTACAACCGGGCCGCTTATCAAAGTCGCTGTCCCAACATTCTGAATATAAATTAATATAGTCTTTGGGAGTTCCAGGGGACGGTTCATCGTAACATCCGTTTAGCCTGTATGAAATTATTTCAAACACTTCATTGTGCTCACCACAAGGCGCTTTCTCACTAGAAATTTCCCATAGGATAACACCAAGACTAAAAACATCAGACTTTTTGTTCCATTCGTACGAAAGATTGCGGAAAGATAAGGGATCAATGTATGCTACGCTGGTTTCGCTCTTTGACGAAATCTGTGTTAGCGCGTTGGACAAACTGCAAATAGCTATTTTTGGAACTCCCGATTGAATGAGAATGCTGTTGGATGACTTTTAAAACGTGGATATAAAGTTTTAAAATAATTAATAAAATTAAAAGCCATTTCCATAACTGCTAATAGTACCCATTGGTGCAACAAATAAACAAGCAGTGCTACTATGTACCAGATTTCCGTGAACAATATCAAGATCATGTAAACATGCTAAGCCTTTGATAATTTCTAAACCCAATTTGTACTTTTCTTTCAACGATAAATGCCTCGTCAGATGTTTGCGCAAGGTTCCATCGTTCGTATATTCGAAAATCATGTGCTGGTAACCAGATGTATCTATAATGCGGCAACAAGTAAGTCATTATCCTTGTGGGGGGGGTCTAATTCTCGATACGTGAATAAAACATACCTTTGGATAAACCCAAGAATTGGACGACATTTGGAACATCTTTCAGTTTTGTACAAGTCTTCAACTATACAATAATGCTTTGTGTAAAATTATTTATAACTTTCATGTAAGCGGTAAACAGTAAAAAACGACAACATACCTCTATGACAAGGTCTTTGAACTTGTCCTCCTCACAACCATGCCCGTTTGATAACAGGGTTTTCATTATGATGGGTATTCCCGCATGCCTCATCTTTGCCTTGTATACTGTCCCATAACCACCACAACCGATAACAGATTGGTCTAGTATGTCACTCTCCGAGTAGCATTTTATTGTTCCTTCTTTAACACTCTTGTCTAACCACTCGATGCTGTAATCCTGGGTCTGAGACATTGTTTTAGTTGATAAAGATTTTCAAAACCCGGGACTATTTATAAAGAGTCCGCCAAATACTGAATGAAACATGCAAGACTTTATTGAAACTGTTTCTGTGCACCGACCGCTATTTTCGGGTGGACAATTATAGGTAAGATGTTCGATATGCAAGTGTGGCGTTACTGGCTGTTTGTTTCTCCGCCGCTTTTCCAAAAAAGATAATATGCTTTTCTAATAAAAATCAAACATCAGCGATCCCTTTCTCCGTGCCTAAATGACTTTTAGAATGTGGGAAGACAAAGATGAGTCGGGAATTTAGATACCCTATTACTATCTATCGCATCGACTTAAAGCTAACGAGTTCGTATTACGTGCGCCTCAAATTATTGTGTATTTTCGGAAGAGTGCCACCGATGAGATGAGAGATGGCCCTCTTGCGATTGTGACCTACAACTTGTTTATCTGTGTATCAACTGAATGAATAAACGAAATAAACTAGAGATCTAATTGGATGGCGGACTATGACCCCCGATAAGGCCGAATATTTCATTTTAGGAAATCCGCGAGCGCTGAGCGTATGATGGCACTGTCAATATAAATAAATATGCAATAAATAAATGTCCCAAAAAGGTAAGACAATAAAGCTTGTCTTGTGCACTTATCCAATTAGTGGCATGGGTAAAATTAGCAGTTTCTTCATTAAAGGTTTATTGGTAGAGTTTGTCAAAGTGAAAAAGTTCAGCAATCCTGCCGAGTTGGACAATGACGCTCTTCTTTATCAGTCATACCCGAGAAGCTGGCTCCACAATAAAATCTAATTTCTGCCTAGTTGGTTGAATACCATTAGCGTCCGTTTATTATGAGCCTGTATTATTGTACAGTAATATAAAACTTATATTACGACACATTTGCACCTGACAATGTATATGTTACACAATCTGTGGTAGATTCCAATCAGCTGCCCGGTAAAACATTATTTGCTTATCAAGTGCATGCGAACTAAACGAACAGAAGTCCCTCTTTACTCCTCACGATTATATATATACAGTATAGCAAATTTACTCGTGACAATAAAGTCGTACTCGATCAGTATAATAATAAAAAGTTACAGTACCATTACTTCACTCCAATCCAACAATATGTGCTTATCATATTTGTCCTTATGTTAATAAATGACCGTTGACTTGTGTTCTTCATCTGCAAGCACTGCAATATAAAGCGTTTCATCGTTTTCATCCAACATTGTCCTGGGAACTCATTTAAAAGTCTCGCGATGGCGCAGAAAGTCTTGTGTGCTCCAAAACTCGCAAATTTTAATATATCCGTAGATAACACGTGTTTTGCTTTTGTATCTTGACCAAGCGATAGAATTAGTACATTTCGTACGTACTAAAGTAAAATGGAAACGGACAGTATTAGTATGAGGCAATGCACGTATAGTTCGCTTGTATGGACGCCTCTTAAGATATTATCAATTAATTGATTATAGATTTATCCTGGTAAATACTCCCGCTCTTTTTTATTGCCAGATATGGCTCACGCTTTATTTACGGGATGTAAATTCGTTTCGGATTTCTTTGTAGCTTATTCTGTGGAACCTGAATTTGTGCCAAAATTTGATTTAGCCGATTTTGCAGTGACTATCAGTTAAAAGACGTTGTTTTTTTTTGTAGCAACGTAGCAGTAAACACACCAAATCTTGGTTTAGGTTCTCGACCATTTCCTTTAATGATTTTTGGCATCTTTATCATACATCAAAGCAAAGGAGGACGGCCTCATCAGAAGGCATAGTCTTAAACAGTAGATTTAAAATAACCTGATAACACCATCGACGGCATATGAATTACCATGATATCGTGTAGCTACTTAGCATGTCTATAATTTTTCATAACAAAAAGGAACAGGACCGAGCATTTATTCTACACAAGGCCCTGAGAGCTGCTTTATTAGATGTGGTTGATTTTGGCTTTATAAGTAGCAATATCTTCTTTTAATTCTTCTTTTTCAGTTCGTAAGTTTTCTAAGTTTTTATTAGTTAACTTGATTTTTTGTTCGACATCTTGGATATTTTCTTTTCTTTCAAAATATCTGTCTAGGAAACGAAAAAAAGGTCAAAGTTAATTGATGCTCTTCATAAGGAATAGTAATATACCAAGATTATTATACAAGCATTATTCAGACTTTGTGCCAGTGCAATTGTAGACAGCTTTTACGCCAACATTCGTATTGTTGACAATGTTCCCTGATAAACTAATCGTTGGCTACTATTACTATACATTGAAAACCTCCATAAATGCAACCTCCCGTTTCCTGCAATTGTGAATCCCGTTCTAATAGATTTATTTCTCTAAAGTGTAATTCGCGTGAGTTATTGGTTGCGAAAAATGATCAACAAAATATAGCAAGTCACGACAAAATTTTTATCGTTATAGATCTACTTGTGTAAACAAAGAATTCTTCATAAAAATTACTATTTTTCAGCGTTTGAGTTTGATCTTGTTTGTCCCATTTTACAATAGCTTTGAAACTAGCAGAAGGTACAAATCTAGTTATGCAAAGAAAGAATTTTTCATGAAGAATTGCCTTTTTTTTCCTCCAGTGAGTTTGATCCTGTTTGTGTTGCTTACAAAAGCCGTTAATAGATTGGAAATTTTTATTTGTGAAAAGCGGTAAATTCAATGAAACAAAGTAGCATAATACAACTATTAGTTAACAGTTCGGGGATAAACTTTTTAATACAGTAACTTAGTTAATTTCCATCATCATCACCTGAGTTACTATATTGTTGGGATTAGATTTCTATTGGAAGATGAAACCATATTTTCCCTTATTAGACCAGATCAGATTATGGCCTCCGCCCGCCACCCATATGGGTGCAAGTGCGCCTTTTACACAACCCTCCCCCGCTCTGGGATGGGTTATGTTGTGGAGGTGGACCTCTAAGGCTTGCTTGTAAGTTTTCCTTTTGAATAAATCAAATGAATGCAACTTGCTATACATCTCTCGCATTATCGATTTACTACATTATACGTTTTTCTTCTTTCTGTGAATAATAACAACTGATTTTCGTTGTCGTTTGATATGAGCTCCCTGCACCATCAACTTTTTTTCGCTAACATATAATCCATTACATACAAATTTTATGATTCAACGTTTTTTCGATACGAATTGATTACAAATCCGCTACAGACGCAGACTTGTCCGATTTCACTAAAAAGGGCTGAGTTTCTAATATCTCAAAGCCCTTTATATAGTATATCGTTTATGCCACAACGCACAATATTACTTGTATTCATTGTCCGATTTCGCTCTAGAAAGGCTGTTTTCCTTATTATATTCGATACTTTCCTTTATATAGTATGTTATTTACTTTTTCATGCTTACGTCACTCCATGCTAGCTAGAAAGGCTAAGGTTCGATACTACTAGTACCCATTGTCTGATTCGCTAAAAAGGCTAAACCCGGGCGTATTCATCACTTTCCTCTGTATAGTATGTTAGTCCATGCCAACAGTCCCGATATGACGTACTCCTCACTTTCCTATTACTACAGTATGTATAGTATGTTGAACTATGCCTATTATACACAATACTACTAGTACCCATTATCTAATTTCGCTAAAAAGGCTAAACCCCCCATTGACGTATTTTTTGTATAGTATGTTATCTATGCCACAACTATTGTCCGATTTCGCTAAAAAGGCTAAGTTTTCTAATACCTATACAGTATTATTTATGCCACGTCTCTCTGTGTTACACGCACAATACCCCATTGTTATCTAATACCTCGGGAAATCCCGATACTTTCCTTTATAGGACATTATTTATTGTGGGTGAAGCTGAAACCATGATCTTTCATTGGTTGATCAGATTCTATTCTATTCTCTAACCCCATTGGTTAGTTTCAGCATCAACCGAATTTCAGGCAAAAAAGATTCTTGCTGCATTGCACTTCCACTTTTTTCCTATTTACCAACTATTATTAATTATAATCATAAATAATACCTCAACTTATTGATATAGTATATCTCGATGCAAATGAAATGATTTTCTCCATCAACGATACAAATTTTGCAACGGTTAATTCTCTTCCGCACGAAGCTACTGTCAATAATAACACTGATACTCAGGAAACTGATAGTCAACTATATTGGCGCCCTTCCAACCCATAGCGTAAAATTTTGCGTTTGCTTCACGAAGACGATTATGCTCAATTTCCGTGTATCCCGTGTTCATATTGTTCGCGTTTATTATATCCACATTCTACAAAATGGTTAGTTAGGGAAACCATTATCTATCCTTTCCATTTATCTTACCCAGAAACGCTGCTCACCTGCTCACCACACATCCACGCAATTCGTCAAAAATTGCAGTATGCAGTAATTGTAAATCTCATCCGAATAATCGAATCAATCATGTACTTGCACCAATACCGATACCTGCGTGCATTCAAGACGTTCCATACGCCAAAAAAAGTATCTTTCTCCTATCTATCTGCACAACAGTTTAGCAACTCACACAGCGGCCCCCCAAATTTCTTCGAAATCCTGCGATGTGATTGGCCCTGATTTCTTCGAAAACTTTATTGGCTCGTTACAAGCATGCATTTAATTTGAAGTAATTCCAGTCACTTAGTCCTAATTTCACGACCAGAGTTAAGACATTAAAATTGTTACACTTGACGTCATGAAGTCCTTGGAAATTTTTTGCTCTAAGTAGCGTATGATGGGGGACACAAGTACGCATCAAACAAAATTGATGCATTACTGTATTAACAATTCAAAATTTAAGAACGCCATTTTGTTCTTCTTAACAAATGCTATATGTGGTTTGAGATATAACTGTTCAAAGTTTAGTTAATTTATATAGTGAGCAGAAATTTGAAACAGCCTTTTCTGGTAAAATTCATCTTAAATATAAACTTGGCCAATTTATTAAGGCCTTAACATAACTGGAATCTTGCGTTACATGAACTTTGGATAAAGATGATCTCTAAAACGAAAATTTTTCGCTCTTAATAATGGGTAGACCCACAAAACGCACTCAACACTGTCATGAGCTTACGAGGAAAAGGTGCACCAAGAAACCATAGGCCTGTAAGACTTTAATTCAAGGCACAAAACGTGTGTGATGATATGGAGAGAGTGTGCAGAAAACGAAGAAGACAGCCTATTACTATGTGGAAAAATTCAAACCCGCATACGTTATTTCTACCGTAATTTGATATTAACAGATTATTCTATTCAATTGGATGAGATTATTAAAACAACAGTTAACCATTCGATGCTCATAAATTGGTGGAAGTTACGCTTAACCAATAAACATATTGTTACGTCCTCATCTTTAAGCGGGGGCACTTGCCATAAACAAATAGAGCAAAAGTTGCTTTACAGATTGTTTAACGTGTGTTATTATCAACAATAATAAGCTAATTGTACTCAGAGCGGCATAGATTCAGATGCATATTAACCGTCTGTAGAGTTTGAGTGTTATGGGTCAAATGTAACATTTTAATGTCTTAACTCTGGTCGTGAAATTAGGACTAAAGTGACTGGAATTACTTCCTTATATGTGTGCTTGTAACGAGCCAATCAAAGTTTTCGAAAAATCTGGGCCAATTACATCGCAGGATTTTCGAAGAAATTTTGGGGCCGGCTGTGCGAGTTCAGTTTAAATCGTTCTGCTGGTGCAAATCCTTTGGTCAAATGGGTATTCTAAGAATCAAAGAGCTTTGACTCTTTATTCTGGCATGCTAGGTGCTTTTCTGCAGTAAACTGATTGTTCACTTGGCGTTTTTTGATACATATAGACAACCTCGTTCATAACCTTTTTCTCTACCGCAATCCACGTGCTTAAAGTTGAACAAGAATACAAGACGAATACGACACTGTTCAAAGCTACCGGTGTATTCTTAAACTTCGCCCGTGAACAGAATCACATGCATGTACAAGTTTACGTTCCAAAAGAAGACTCAAACTGGCATGCTACTACATCCTTCTGGCACTCTCATCCGAGCAGTTGGAAAAAGAATTATCAGAAAAAGAGCAAACAGTTAAAGAACAAGAGGAAAGATTTCAAAGTGAATCTTTTAAAAATACACTCTCGGTACGTTTTTGCTGACCTTTATCAAAGTATTTTTTTTTGTCCTAGCTTATCTCTTATTAATCAAACACATACAACTTCTGCTGTATTTTATTTCACTATAGATAAACGCATACAAGTGCCATGTTTCTGCGAAATCAGCGACAAATATCCCATCTTCCCGTACTTGGCTTAGCGCCATTGGCACCATAAAGAAGAATTCGAAATAATAGTCCACCATCACGTTACTAAAAAAATCTTTTTGATCGAACAAAAAAGGCCAAACTTGGGTCTAATATTTTGATAGTAAGGGAAGTTGACGTTTACGAGGATAAACTATATATAACTTCGATTTTGTATCCACAAATGCAACTCAGTATGACTCATTATATGAACACACTCACACAATCTTCGGAGATCCCGTTTATACGAAACATTGACTAAATCATCTGATTCAAATCAACAGACAAAACGTCAGAGAACTTCTGATACAAACTCTAATACTACGTCTTCCTCAGCAGATTATCAATCTGTCTCTGATTCAAATAATGCAAATCAAACTCAACCTGATCAAAAAAATGATCGAAAACACAAAAGCAACCTGTAAAGCGAGAACTGCGTTCATCTAATATAGCTAAAAAATTTCTGACCTAGCAGCGACTAATTTAG